TATATATATATATATATATATTTAAATGGTTAGATAAATGATGAGTTATTTATTAGAATCACTAGATTTATTCTAGTTATGCTCCACAAACAACAGCGTATATTAAAAAATTGATCATTTTAAATCAGTACCTTCTAGCCAGATAATTGTGAACTAGGTGTAAGCCTTGTTAGAACACATCCAGATTTAAGGTAGCTCGGGAAATGTGCTTAAGGTAGACAATGATAAGTTAGAACTCCGTACGGAAGTACGGTTGTTTGTAGGCTACCCAAGATGGACGAAAAGGTTAGAAGGTCGTTTTTTTTTTTTTTTTTTTGCATAAATGCCGGTTAGATGAACGCTATGAAATAAATCACAAACCCACAGAGCAATATTGGAATAATTGTTCTAAAGGACATGAGAGAAGAAAAAGCAATATTGGAATAATTGTTCTAAAGGACATGAGAGAAGAAAAAACAGTTCTTTAACTGCATGTACGAATAGTGCACCTTCGTCGGTAGTACTTCATCGAAGTGGTAGGGTTGTACCACAACTTGACATATTCATGTTTTTGGGAATCTTCAAACTTTGTCCCCACTGATCCCTAGACATAAGACGAGTCACTCTAAGATAAAGATGCGATTTCTTGGAAAGACGATTATTGAGATATTTTATGAATGATGAGTCACTCTAAGATACAGATGCGATTTCTTGGCAAGACGATTACATAGATAAATTATGAATTCTAATCAGATGTGGGATCTTGTAGAATCACAGTGGTGTATTAGCCATTAGATGCAAATGAGTCTACAAGAAAATAATGATCAGGTGGAAACTTTAAGGCAAGACTTTTGCGAAAAGGTACTCGAAAAGAAGGGATCTCGACTAATAGTCATGCTTAACTCTATCTGAAATCTTTTGGTTGTTACCGCTTTTCTAATTATGAGATTTGTCAAATGGATGTCAATAGAATTTTCATTAACTGATGTGTTGAGGAAAACATTCATATGAAGCAACCAGAGGGATCTATTAGATCCATTAGAAAGGGTAAGTTTATTTAATCTCTCAATTAAAACAATTTATTTATAAACTAAAGAAAGTTTCGAGATCTTGGAACACTCGATTTCACGAAGAAGAACAAAAATCTTGTACCAAAAAAAAAAA